CCCACGTCCAAGGAGAGAGAATCACATCGCAGTTCGTGTACTGCCCGTTGTGCGCTCGTCGGTGGGGTACGTGGTTTGAGCTCAACCGGGTGAGTTTCGTCGCTAGCAACAGACTTTGTATTATATCACTTCCCTGACCATCGGCAACCCCAGCACTACACCGAGGCGCATCCTGTGGAACCTGCCCTGAAGGATGTCCTACGCAGCCAGTGTGCCTCTCCTGGACCGCTCGTGATCGAGGACGAGGATGAGGGGGTACGTTCCGTCTGCCTTATTGACTTGACTTCCCCGCCTGATATAACTACCACTGCGCAGCCAGAAGACGTTGATCCCATCGAGGATGTATACGCGCGGGAAATCAATGTTGCCGCAGCCGAGGTACGTCGACGACTGACCAGTGTCCATCCAGGTCCATACGCAGTAGTCCTCACCATACGTAATCAGGCTCCCGATGATATCCACACTCATCCGACCACTGCAATGGACATTCCTGCTCTGTCATCTGTCAGCGATGATGCTACATCGACGGGTGAACCGCGACCGGTTGTCGTGCTCGAGTATCCAGCTGCGGAATTGGTGCGCGCGGCTATTGCCACCGCGGAATCCGGATCGCTTCTCTGACGAAAGTCCTTTAGGCAGGAAAGCACGTCGATTCTCAGGTGCAGAGTGACAACACAAGCCAGCTACCTACCGATGCCCCAAGGACAGCGACCCCCGTCACGGCACAGAGCAAGAAAGCTATCAAGAAAGCCAAAAGAGCCGAAAGAGCCGCCAAGGACGCGATGAACGGTGAAACGAGGGCGGAGAAGAAGGCTAGGAAGGCCGCAGCAAGTGCAGAGAGGAAGGCCAAAAAGGCCGCCGAGAGGGCCGCGAGAGAAGAGTCATCAAAGGCAGCCGGGATTGATAGTATCGACGCTATCAAGGACCAGATTGCGACCCTCAAGAAGAACGAGAAGTCCTTAGCGCGCGAGGCAACGAAGATTGTCGACAGGCTGACAGCGTTCCATGACGGTGTTTTGTCTCTTCAGCACAGCGGCGGAATTGGCGTCGTCGAAAGCGAGTACGTAATCTACATGCTTGTTTTTGTACCGCTCAGCGGCTGATGCGGAACTCGTCGCAGAATATCTGCCGCTTCGGGAGCTCCCCTCGCAGCAGCTATCACACAAACCGAGGACATACAAGTGAACCTCTCAGACGAGCAGCTCCTTCGCATCTTTGCGCTGCGCCATGGGGTGAACATGAGCTCGAAAGTCCGAGACTTGCTCGCGAGCACAGAGATGGTGGCCACACGTTCCGACGGCTTGCAGCCTGGCGAACCAGAGGACGTGCCGTCCCCGACGACATCGTTGCCCAAGAGCCTATCAGACTCCTGGGAGAAGACCGTGTTTGACGAGCTCCGAGGTAACAGGTATGCTTCTCTACTCCCCTCTCTTTCCTGTCCTACCTACTCATGGTTATCATGTCAGCAACGATGCTGAGGATGCAGAAGGCTCGCACACGGCCGAAAGGTCATCTCTTCTTCGCTGCCGCCTATGCCTCAAGAACGTCTGCGACGAACCTGTCGCCACTCCGTGTGGTCACGTATTCTGTCATAGGTGAGCCTCGTGCTCACGTCGTGCATGGTTGCACTTGCTGAGGCTGCGGTGTGATGGTAGTTGCATCGGGAAGGAGCTCATCGCTCACTCGAAGTGCCCCGTCTGTCAGCGGACGGTCTTGCAGCGGCTGGCCCTCGACTGATAGAAGAGCTGACCCCAGGGAATACGCTTATCGGGAAGAGACGGACCGGCAACTCGACCTCATGGTTTACCTCGGAAACAATTCTACACTGCAGGATCTGCCCACAAAGAGTTGTAAAATTATGTGTGGTCTGTATGATATGCGTTTTCTGTGATTGACGTGTGAAGCAGATATGAGGATTACACGTCCAATTGAGGGCGCACCGCCGAAGACGGGCCTTGTTGTACTCGTACACGACTTCGAGACCCTGCTTGAAACTCGCGTCTCGGGCCATGAGTTCGACCACTCCGTCGCAGGCATTTAGCCAATACAGAAGCATAGAAGTTTTCAAATGAATTGCGGTCCTGTCATCGACATCGGGAAGCTGCGGTAGGCGCGACGGTATAAAACAGGCGCTATCTTCAAGTTCATCTCGGACTTCAGGCTCTGAACTCGCCCTCCCACAAGTTGCCCACTCCCTCGGCATATAGCCCCAAGATGCCGCTGCCTTACCAGCCCCAGGAACCGGCCGGGTATCGTGCCAGCAATGATTACGCGTATGCTCGCGCCGCTTCGGTCGACCTTGACCCAGAAGAGCTGTTCAACGCCATATGTCACTCATTATCGATCTGCGGTGAGCAACGGTCGACATGACTAACGTGACTTACACTGATTGCTCTCGATACAGCTCTGCAGCGCCGTAGGGGTCTGAGGAAGGTGCATCGTAGACTGCCTTCGATAGCGCAGAAGTTGAATATGATGGCGGACGGTGCTTATGCGCACCACGACTGGCGCATGGTTGATGCCGTTGTGCGCGTTTGGGTCACGGTCTGCGCAGATGCTGCCTTGGGGCGGGAGTTACTCAAGCAAGGTGAGTGAGTACGCCGACGTCGCAGTCCATATGCTCAACAGGGCGTGTGCGGGTTGGGCAGGCATTCTGGATAGAGCATTGCGGCTTGTCAACACCGACGTGTGCAGCTCTCAATTGACTCTGCTCTTCACCCTCCTGGCGAACCACGGCGACGGGACGGTGAAAGTGGAGATCGTACGTGCGATCGCCACCATGTTCGTCGGCGGGTACCAGCGGTGGCGTTCGGATTTACACAGGACGTCCACCTTTATCATCATGGCGTTGTATCACTGCCTGGAAGCCGTGACGTTCCCCTCTACTCCTCCTACATCAGGCACGATATTCAACTCGGATCTCCCTGCAACAGTTCTCGCGACGCACATCCTGGAACACTTCCCTAAACCTCACGTCCCCCACGCCGCGATAGTACACGCCTTCCCGCTACTCATAACCTGCGCTATGTCCTGTTCGGCGATTGGGATCGCGCCCGTGGTGCCCGTCCTCGAGTTCCTCACCATGCTTATCAAGAGTCGGAACATCGGCCTCCGCTGCGCCGCCATCTGGACTTTCGGTCGTCTCTGCCCCGAAGTGTCCAGCGCGGACTCGGCGACCGTGTGCACCCCTCCTCATGTTCCGGACGAGCGCGTGCCTCCAGGGGGTGAGATTGCAGAGTCCAGACGGTGCACACGGGAGTTGCTGACGCTCGTGCAGACTCTGGTCGCAGACGGCGACCTCTGGCAGTTCGGGGTAGAGATGGCTGAAGTCGTGATGCAAGGCCGGCACACCTACGAGGACGTCGATCTTCTCGACCTTGGGGGAACAGCGACACTGGCTGACTTTGATACGTGGGACCGCTTGCTCCGGGAGGTGATCATAGTGGTGATGAAGAAAGACTGCCGTTACCGGGACAAGGCACACGTGCTCTACTTGGAACACGAAGTGCTGTTCGAACCGCCGGACGTGGTGGCGGCTCATGCACATCGGATCTTGCACTGGGATGCCGCACATGCTTATGCTCACGTTTTGTTTTGCGAGAATGCCCCGCACCTGGAGATGGCGTTGCGGACCGCAGTGGACGGGCTAAAGCTGCCGGACCTCACTCCTCATCTGCAGCGACGACTGCTGCTCCGTGCGCTGGACCTCTCCTATGCCAAGGCTTGTGCGTTTCTGCTTGGAGCGAATGCGACCGAGTTGTCACGCCTGCGGGAGGGCAAAGGCTGGCTCCGACTTGGTCTGGACTACGCACATCGATTCATCAAGGATGCTCCGAAGGACTCGAGGGACTTGCCGCACGTCGCCGACCTCTGCATGAGCATTACGCTGATGCTACGGGGACGGTCGCTCGGTGAAGACCTTGCGCCCATCCAGGTACGTATCTGCATTTCCCTTTCCGCAAACTCCACACTGACGGAATGAACATGCAGCCCATATTGCGTATCCTCGACCGCTCGTTGACCACTCTCAAGGAGCTCGGTATTGACGTCGGCGACAATCCCACACGGGCAGGGAACAGGCTGTTTGTTCAGCACTTTCCTCGGGGACTCGAGAAATGGGGCGTCTTCCTGTCCGGCTTTCACGAACAGGACCATGCGATCCGCGCATCTATCTCATACCCCCGGAAGTCCGCCAGCTCCCTTGAGGATGTCCAACATCCTGAGCGGGGTGAAGGTAACGTCGCGGAGCCCGGCAACTCGGACACTATTGCGTGGTGGGGAACCGCGGCGGCGGCGACCGTCCACTCCCTCATGCGAGGCCCGTTGCGGTGCTGCTGCCGCGCCAGCGAACTAAACGGGTGCGTGCAGCTTGGCCCAGGCCTAATTACTCTGCTCCAGTGCACATGGTGTGGCGACACCACGGCTCTGATCAAACAGTGCGGAGGGTGCGAGCAAGCTTGGTATGTCGCTCCCAGATGCCTCGCTCCTTGTGCTCGAGCTGAACTCCCGTGTAGGTACTGTGACTCCGAGTGCCAACGTGCGCATTGGCCTGAACATCGGAAAGAGTGTAAGGCTCGCTCGATATCGGGTTAATTAGTATGGGATACATGCAAGTTACAGGTGATGATACACACGCGGGTTTCCGAGCGCATTCGAGGGGACTGTGGGCACAGTCCACGCAACAGCAGTCATATTCTCTTTTTATATCCATTCTTGTAAGTACTTGAATCCTCACGCAAGTTCGCGTGCTCGCACCCATCGATGTTGACCGCCTGCTGGCATCATGGTCGCGTACTCTCCGTGGACGGTGTCCGTTGTGAACGGTTTTGTTCTCCCTTGATCTGACTTTGCAATGCAATTGGGTCTTGCCTTGATATAATGTCGTCTCTGTGAGTTGGCCCAGTCGCCATAGGATACTGTAGTAGCTTACATGGCTCTGAGTCGGGTCTGGGTAGACTGCAGGGGAAAAAGACCAGAAAAAACTAAGGAAGACAACTTCACTGCCCCGGTGAGGCTCGAACTCACGACCTTCCGATAATCGGCATACAAGGTAACAGTCGGACGCTGTAACCAACTCAGCCACGGGGCACTTAAGGGGAGTCGTTTAAAGGTTTATTATCGTGTGCGCGCAACATCGGAGGAAAGCGGGACACGTGCTGGGTTGTCGGGCGGCTCGGGGAGGAGGAGGCGGAAGACAGAGCTCTTCCTCCCAGTCGCACTGTTGTCTCTACGCCGGGTCGCGTTCACCATGCAGCCAACTCTCATCCGCCGTCAGCTCGGTGGCCTCGTCCCCCCGAAAATCGCATCTCCGTCTATCCTCGTGAGTGTCTCAGACGGCCAGCCTCTGCCAGCACCACATTTTCGCTGACCGGGGCGTAACAGTCGTCTGGCTCCGGCGCAGGTCTCGGGCCCCTCGTGAACTTCTACTCCAAGCTCCCCAAGGGTCCTTCGCCCTCGACGGCGTCGGGCGGCATCAAGGCGCGGTACTTCAACGGCAAGAACGCGTCCGCTGCCCCCGTCCTGTTCACGATTCTCGCCATCTTCGGTCTGGGATACACCATTGACTACCAGAGTGCGTGTTTGTTGCCTCGTTGCTGGGTATATGCAGGTGTTGACGTGCGCGGCGCGGCTGTGGGGGATGGTGTGATCAGTGCATCTCAGTGAGTTGTTTTGCTTTTATAGTCGCGGTGTCGTGTCACGTCGCTGACTCGCGTTTGTTTCCCAGAGCACCACAAGAACCACGCTCACTAAATCACGAGTGCCCTCGGAGGTGGAATGTGGTAGACGTAGATGGGAGTGCTTGTGTATGGAGAAGGAATTGCATTCACTCGCATTCACCTGCTGCCTCAGGAAATCGTCGCCACATCGCCACGTACTCATTGCGCCGTGAGTCTTCTGGATGGTCTGCTCTATGCGTCCCTTGTTGCACCCGCAGGCGAGGCGATGAACCGTCCTGTTCTATCATGTTGTTCGCCATGTTCTGGGGTGCTTGCGCTCTTGGGCGACAGATGGAACTCCCTGACCTCTCCAAGTGCACCTGGTGCTCTAGCGGCTGTGTGATCAAGGCTGGCTGTAGCACTCAAACTGGTCAGTTCTCTTGACTCAGACTAGAGGACGGGACTGACGCACTGCTGTAGGCACCGAGTTTGCTGCTGGAGCAGGCATAACTTTTCGCTCGGTATGCGGTTCGGGGCAAGTCGTCGGTGCATCGCAGCTGAAGATATTGCCTCGTGAAGCTGAACAGTGGCCCTTTTCTCCCCTCATTACGTCTGGCATGTAAGCATCAATTATGTGTATCATGGACGCTGGATGTGAGATTGGAAAGGACCTGCGCGTACTCGGGGTCGCAGACCGGATCGTCGTGACAACCACGCTGTGCCTTGGCCCCTTGAGGTGCGTACTTCGACATCAATTCGACGCAGTATGCAATGCTTCCTCCGGCGTCATGCAATTGCTCCTGCCCCTGTCTCCGGTGTGTTCCAACCATCTGAAAGCATCACATGAAAGAGCATGACTGGTCTGACTTGTCCCCTCCGTAGCTACCGCCTTGCGTCGACATGGACGACACCCTCATGCAGTCATCCTGACTTTCTGCGCAAGCGCATCCTACGGGCAGGCTGTAGAACCTGTTCCGCGTTGTACTGTAGGGTGAGTGTTTAGTTCGAGCTTGGTCGTTCCGCTATGGTTGTGTCAGGCGGACAGGCCAGTGATTAACGATCTGTTCGATGTTCGAACTAATTCGAATAGCAATCCTCGAGCCACATACATCGCTTTCTATGGGTGGCCTCCTTACGTCCAGAGACCCGGTCATCACCGTAACAAACCCCTTTGTTGGCAACACTGTATTGAATTATACTTAGCGCATAGAAATGCGAAGTCACTCTGGATCGACCTCCCTGGCCTCGAAGGCACTATCATACCGTCTGATGAGGCGCATCTCCCGCAGCAGCATGCAGTAGTGGAGGTGCGTCTAACAGTGCTGGTGACCATCGAGCCCGAACCGAAACAATCATCATCATAGATGCTCACAATGAGGGTTCTAGTTACGCACCACCTACACACCGCCTGAAGCAAGAATAACACGCATCCGCCAGGCGCAGAACAGCAATCTAGCACGCTTGCGCAGGCGGAGAACAGCGCGTGTGCGCGTTTGTAGTAGCGGGCTCCACCCGCTCCATCGTTGCTCGACGACGGGGGGACCGTCCGCGCAGCAACGCCCTTTGTCTTGGCGCCCTGCGTCGCTGTGAGTTTCGAAGGTCACGCTGCCTTTGTTCTCTCCGCGCAGAAAGGGGTTACGGAATCGAGAATTCGCAAAGCGCGGAATGCACCCCGGAAGACACGCGATGGAGCGCAGAAGGAGGGCGACTGTATATAACCAGGCCCTCGCGCCTCCGCTGGGGGTCAGAACACCCTTCTGTTCACAACCCCCCGCGAGCCCGGTGCTCTCTCCCCCCACTGTCCCTGTCGCCTTTCTCGCTTCACGCCTGCGTGTTCGTTCGTGTGCTACTTTCCGACGTCCCTTCTTCGCTCTTTCATCAGTACCCGTCCATCGTCCCTCGTTGTTAACGCCCTTCGTCCGCGCACGTGCTCCAAGTTCACCATGTTCTCCACGAAGCTCTCTGCCCTCGTCTTCCTCGCCCTCGCGGCGCTCTCCCAGGCTGCGCCTGCTGATTTCCAGAAGCAGAACGCGCTCGACGCGCAGAAGCTGAACGCGAAGTTCGCGTCCCTCACCGCGGACTCCTCCTGCACTGGTACGCGTCTCTTCCTCCTCCTACTTCTCCCTTTCTTGCACCCGCGTCCATCCTCGTCGCACCTCCTCCATGCCTCGTGGATCATGCTGACGATTGTTTGTATTTCATGACAGATGGCGACCAGGCCTGCGTCAACGGCGGCTTCGCACAGTGCTCTGGGGGCAAGTTCCAGGTCACCCAGTGCTCCGGCGGCACGTCCTGCTTCGCCCTCCCCCTCGTCGCCAAGCCCGGCACGAGCATCACCTGCGACAGCGCAGACGACGCCGCGGCGCGCATGACTGCTGCTGGCGTCGATGGCGGCGTCGACGGCTCTGGCTCGTCCGGGTCCTCGGGCTCGACGGACAGTGCTGGTGCGGCCGGTGCGACCGCGACCGCGACCGATGGCGGCGCTGCTGGCGCGACCGCGACTGACGTTAGTGCTGCTGGTGCCACTGCGACCGATGGTGGTGCTGCTGGTGCCACTGCGACCGATGTCGGCACCGCTGCTGCTACAACCGACGCTGGCGCTGCCGGTGCGACCGCCATCGATACTGGTGCTGCTGGTGTTACCGCGACCGACAGCAGTGCGGCCACGGCCACCGATAGCGCTGCTGCTACCGCGACGGATACTAGGTCCTCTGGCTCTAAGGGCACCGGCTCGAAGGGCTCAGGGAACAAGGGCAAGGGCAACAAGGGTCAGGGCAAGGGCAACAGCTCGAACGGCCAAGGCGCGGCCGGCGCGTCGGGCAGCGCTGCTGCTACCGCTACCGCCAGCGGTGCCGCTGCCACGGATAGCGCTGCTGTTACTGCGACCGACAGCGCTGCCGCTACTGCCACGGATAGCAGCGCCGCCGATTGCGCACAGACCGTCACCGTCACTGTCACCGCTGGTGCGGCCAACGCTACGGCCACCGACTCTTCCGCTGCGGGCGCGACAGACTCCTCCGCTGCAACTGCCACCGACTCCTCCGCTGCCACGGCCACGGATTCGTCCGCTGCGACGGCTACCGACTCGTCCGCTGCGACTGCCACGGATTCTTCCGCCGCCACGGCCACCGACTCAAGCGCTGCGACCGCGACCGACTCTGCAGCTGCGACTGCGACGGCCACCGACTCGTCGGCAGCGACTGCGACCGATGCCAGCGCGACTGCCGGCTCGGGCGCGACGGCCACCGAGGACCTCTCCTTCTCCCTCCTCGAGCCAACTGCAACTGGCAAGGCGGGCAAGGGCAGCAAGGCTGCGCGCAGCCGCTTCGCCATCAACAGGCTCTAAGCCTGGGTGGCTGAGGCGTGAGCGTGCAGTCGCACGTTCACCACTGCGGACACGATCATGGACACGTATGCGTACTTAGCCTAGTTGCGATGGACTTGCTACTACTCTTATATTCGCGCTTTCCGAAGTGCTCTGGAGCGCATGTTCTGTTATTACCGTCTTGTAGCATACTGTTATTCGAATGAAAACGCAGGCGCGCTGCGCGTGGTGATACCAATTACTGAATGATTGCACGAGGTCACTCGAGCTCAGGGAAGGCCTTCGTACGTTGACTGCCGTAAAGTCAGTTGCGTAACCGCATGGCTGCCTAATATGTGGACGTTGGGCGTCCCGATCCTTGGTCCGTAGCAGAGTCACGGTCGCCGGGACTGTCAGACTGCGTCAGCACTCTACACATCCGGCCGCAAACGACGTGGACTGTCTGTGTGCGGTGTTGCAGCCAAAGTGACCAAGCTGCTCTCGGCGAGCTCTGGAATTCGAGGCGAAGGACTGGGAAAGACGATGTCCCCGCAAGTGGCCGAAGTTCAGGCGGTAGTACCGCGCCGGATCTGAGATGGGGCACAGCACTTGAGCGATGGGGTTGAGGGTTTGGCCTCGCTCTTCGAGCGTGGTAGGTTGAGGACGGTAGGAAGACATACAACCGTATACCATGCAGGTGTAGCTCGATGATTGTGCAAAGTGGTTAAAAGCAACTGCAAAGAGGCATCTGAATCAACCTTGGCATTCGAGCGCTCAGATCATGCATAATAGCTGATACGTCTTCGTGGGAACGGGAAGGTGCCTGAGTATCTCCTCAGAATATACTTACGATCTACCGACCCCAAAAGTTAAAACCCTTACCTACCACCACCCATCTGCTCTACTCTTATAGTCCTTAACGTCGCGGACGACGACGACGGCCGATTTGTCACGCTGCGCCTTGTAGCCAGACTTTGACGACTTCGCTCATCCCGCGCCGGGCGCTGCGCACTCTGCTATAATAGCTTACCCCAGCCAGTCACTTCTCGGCACACCTGTCCGACCGCTCTCACCCCCGTACTATCATGATCAAGCACAAGCACAAGCAAACGCCGCAGGATCTCTACT